TTTTTTTTTTTTTTTTGAGATGGAGTTTTCAGTTTTCACTCTTGTTGCCCAGGCCAGAGTTCGGTAGCGTGATCTTGGCTCACTGCAACCCTCACCTGGCGAGTTCAAGCAATTATCATGCCTCAGTCTCTCGAGTAGCTGGGATTATAGGCACATGCCACCATGCCCAGCTAATGTTTTTGTATTTTTAGTAGAGATGGGGTTTTGCCAAGTTTGCCAGGCTGGTCTCAAACTCCTGACCTCAGGTGATCTGCCTGCCTCAGCCTACCAAAGTGCTAGGATTACAGGGGTGAGCCACCATGCCCAGCTGATTTTTTAAATCGGAAAAAATTTTTTAAAGACTGACAATTAGGAAAAAACAGGTGAATCTTGTTACCTAGAAATATTTTTTAAAATGAAAAAAAGTATGTCATTAATGCATAAAATATATGTAGATACTAGTCTATTTTACCACTTGCTACCATAAAATATACATGAATCTATTATAAAAAATTAAAATTGCCCAAAACATATACAACACACAGACAGTACATGATGCCATTCAAAATAGAAATATAACTAAATGTAAAGATGCAGTATTAAACCATAACTGCATAAACAACTGTAGTACATACTGTACTACCATCATAATTGTGAAGCTACCTCCTGTTGCCACTGCAGCGTGCTCTGGTGTTGTGAGTACATGCTTAAAACGCTCTGTGAGCTAATCATCTCTGCACAAGGAGTCTCACCAGTAAATCACATATTGCAGTAAAATGTGATCCCTCAAGGTTCTCGTGTATTTTTCAATGTGTTTAATGCAATATTGTAAGCCTTGAGTAGTACCAAGGGCCCATACTAGGTGCTACTAGTGATTCTGGAAGTGTTCCCAAGAAGCAGAGAAGAGTCATGACATTACAAGAAAAAGTTGCTTGAATTGCTTGATTCAAGCAAAAAGGCAGATTAGAAAGTGTTAGAACAGCACTAAGGACATGTTAGCACCAAATTAGCCCTTTCAAATTGAAAAAGATTGAAAAAAGAATCCTTTCTCATTGTATAGTAGGTGGTACCACAGGTGGAGCTCTGCAGCTTCGGTTGCTTACTATTTCAGACAGACAATACATCTTGTAAACAGATGAAGGAAACTTATGGTATCAATAAATACAGTATGGTACTGTAAATGTAGTTTTACTTCCTTATGTTTTCTTTTCTTATAATCAATCTCTACTTATCCAATAATTTTCGTAATAATATTTTCTTTTCCCTAGCTTACTTGTTTTTTTTTTTTTTTAAAGATGGGGTGTCGCGCTGTCACTCAGGCTGGAGTGCAGTGGCACCATTTCGGTTCATTGCAACCTCAACCTCCCAGGCTCAAGTGATCCTCCTGCCTCAGCTCCGCAAGCAGCTAGGACTATGGGTGTGTACCCCATGCCTGGCAGATATTTGGATTTTTAGTAGAGACGAGGTTTTGCCGTGTTACCCAGGCTGGTCTTGAACTCCTGAGCTCAGGCAATCTGCTTGCCTCCTAAACTGCTGGGATTATGTGCATGAGCCGCCATGCCCAGTTTACTTAATTATAAGAGTACAGTATATAATACATATAACATAAAAAGGTGCGTTAATCCACAGTTTATGTTATCAGTAAGGCTTTCTTCTGGCCAACAGTAGGCTATTAGTAGTTAAGTTTTTGGGGAGTCAAAAATACCATGAAGGCCAGGCACGGTGGCTCACACCTGTAATCCCAGCACTTTGGGAGGCTGAGGCAGGCAGATCAGTTGAGTCCAGGAATTCAAGACCAGCCTGAGCAACATGATGAAAACCTCATCTCTACAAAAAATTTTCAAAAATTAACTGGGGTGTGGTGGTGTGCTCCTGTAGCCCCAGATGCTCAGGAGGCTGAGGTAGGAGATTCGCTTGAGCCTGGGATATCAAGGCTACAGTGACTTGTGATCTTACCACTGCACTCCAGCCTGGGCAACAGAATAAGACCCTGTCTCAAAGAAAAAAGGATTTTTGACTGTGTATAAAGAGTTTGTGCCCCTAACCCCTGCATTGTTCAAGGGTCAATTGTATATAATTATGATAGAAAACTAGTATCACTTGCCATAAATAGAAGGTAACTATAAAAATATGTAAAGTTGGCCAGGCACGGTGGCTCACACCTGTAATCCCAGCACTTTGGGAGGTCAAGGAGGGTGGATCACTTCAGGTCAGGAATTTAAGACCAGTCTGACCAACATGGTGAAATCCCATCTCCACTAAAAATACAAAAATTAGTTGGGCATGGTGGT